AAGGATTCTGATTTCAACCGTTGCGTATATTAGCTGCAACATATGAATCAAGATGCTATGACTGAAAAAATTTGATTGACAGATGACTGTTGATATATGATTGGCCGAATTTAGGTGTTCAGGCTGACGTAGAACTAACTGGCCTGCAGAAGATAACAGAATATTAAAACAGATTTTATGACAGGATTTTTTTTTTACATTTAACTTTAATCTCCCAGAATAGTTCAGAAAAGCACTTTAAATTAATTTGAAGGTGTTATTTTAACCATTTACTGCCGTGTCTATAGATCTCCAGTTCAGATCTCACTGTGACCATTTGGTTTGTTCAGTAGACGATTATGGAGCCTCAGATTGTTATGAAACTGGATGATCATGGATCTCTAGCTGAGCTCTGTTTCCAGCGGCGGCCTTGTGATGACTCTGCTGTTTCCTCTCCGCTCCCTGGTGACTTCCTGTGCTCCACTTTCCCACTGATCACCAGGATCGGTGTCAGAGGCCCACCATGAGAAGAAAAAGAAATCTGTTTCAAAACAAAAGCCATCCTGACCTCTTTTATTTTGGTTATTGTTAAGCCTCTCATCCATAAAGCCAATATTATTGCTGCCCTCATAAAGCCATCCAAGGTTTCTTTAAATCTCTCATTTGTGCATATTGTTAAATCCAGTTTATGTAACCGCTTTAGCAGATTGGCTGCTGTTTCTGCCAGCTTTCTGATTAACTTCAGAGTTTTAGATTAGCATCTGCTTCGTTTTATCACTTTTAAACTGGCTGGTTGTAATTTGGCGCCCGTCCTCAGCCTTGTTTGCATCGCTGCTGCGTTCCAACACTGGCCTCCGTTTCAGGGAAAACACAAGGTCAGGCATTAAGAAGTTAGACAGAGGACTGTTATTAAAAACGGTTTAGCATGTGTGTGTTTTCACACACTTGTCTTAATTGTGAGCCTCAGTGATGCAGCGTAAACATGAGAGCCATGGTCCTCGGGGGGTTTGACCCCTGGAGGAGCTGCTTTGGAAACACGCACTCATGCAGTCAGGCTCCAGATGAAACATTAGGAAGTCAAATGGAAAGAAATAAGAAAAGCATATTCCTAAAAAAATGAACATAAAAAAAAAAAAAAAAAACCTTTTAGCACATTTTTGAAGGTTATAAATACAAGTTTAAATCCCCCTGGCCAGTAAGTGGCGCTCTTGCACACTTGCAAGCCTGTTGTCTGATACTGCCGGGTCAACACTGTGCGATTTATTCAGTCGTCGCACGCAGCTACAGTTCACACTTTAAGACGAAACCACCAGGTTTAAAAGTTCACAGATCATGATGTATCTTCTCACACTGTGCGACTCGACGCTCTGATGCGATCTACCTGCTCACTCTGTAGATCTAAAAACCACGTGGGACTGTTCTTTGACAAACATGGATGCCTCCAGTAAAGCACATGTAAATTAAAATTATCATTCATTAAAAACACTTATCATTTATTGTAAGTATATAATTATTTCATATTTAAAGAACTTTCGGAAGTTTTTATTCTGAATGTGAGTGGATTTTATAACATAACAGATACTTGAGCTCAATCGGATTCCTCTGATGGTTCGCAGCAGATTTCATAAGACTTATTGGATTTTCAAAGCCAAAAATGGCACGTATTTTAATGTCGTAAAACTGTACCACACATTTTATTTAGGGATGCACGATATTGGGATTTTGCCCGATATCCGATATGCTGATATTTTAAAACTCATGTAGCCGATAACCGATATCGATACCGATGTTAAAGCTGGACAAAATCAGTGGTGTCAAAAGTACACACATTTGTAACTTAAGTAGAAGTATAGATACTGCAGTTTAAAAACACTCTGGTAAAAGTTGAAGTATCAACTTGACCTCTTTACTCGAGTAAAAGTGAAAAAGTATGTGCTCCAAAAACTACCTGAAGTATAAAAGTATAAAGTAACCTTTAAAAAATCTGCCAGATGCCGCTATATGAACTGAAAGCTCAATTTTTCGACTATTTCTATAAATTCTCTGAGATAGGGCCAAGGATGAGGGAGGTCTTGTTGGTCTCCATCTCTCGATACGCTCTCGCCTGTGTCCGACCTTTCAGACATTTCAACATCTTCGTAGCATGGCATAGACAATTCACGTTAGCAGTTTGAAGAACACCTGCTTGCTTCTGATGATTTCCTTTAGCTAACCAATGAGTGTTTGCGTTCTATGACTCATCCAATCACACTAGAAGTGGATGGAGCCAATGATCTGCATTGGATGGAGAACATGACGGGAAATAAATATTTACAAACATTAAACCAGGGGAAACCAATTAAAAATCAGTGGGTCTGAATAAAGAAAATCATCAACCAGTAAAGGTCTGGAGACATTTTTAATGATCTGTTACCTTAAACAGAATTTAACACTGAAACAAAATGAGGTATTTATGCATTAATGTTATACATGAAATTTTTAAATTGAAAAAAAAAAAACAAATTGCCAAAAATTGCATCCTGTGTTATCTCAGAGGAGTTCACACCTGTATGACTGTATTCCTATACATCCATCAGTAGTTAAAGGTCAAGGGTCAGCAAATGCAAATTCTACCTGTAAAACAATAACAGCGTAATTGTCGCTGTCTGATCTGATGCCTCATTTGGAGCTTCTAAACTGGCTTTTGAAAAACTTTGATAATTTGCTGCTAATATTACAGATTTTTTTAGAATAAAAAACTAGCAGATGTGCATCATAAAAAAAAACAGAAATACAATTATAGAGCATTCAGTATTATAAAAAAAAAAGCCCACACTGTTTCTGAATAAAGAGATTTTTGTATTAGTTAAGTTATTTTCCGTTTATGTATCTTTCCTTGAAAATATGAAATGTCCCATGCTCCTGAATGCACCATAGCTATCTGACGCTCGCGAATGCATCACACTGGTCTGTGAACGCTGTGCTGTCACGGCGGCATCACTGTTTATTGTTGTGTGTGAAAAACAAGAGACTACAACAAATAAATCAGCCGTACCTCGGACAAAATCTTTGGATTTAATGTTGTTCATAACACCCATATATATTTTTAATTAATCTTCTAAATAACTACAAATGTTTTCCCCACGAGAGGAATATTTAAACGTTTTTATATCATTAATAAAACAACAAGTAGCTAAATTGGTCATAGTTTAATCCGTTTCCCTCGTTGATATGTGGTTGTACAGAGCGAGGTGAGGCACTTTTCCGCATAACACCGGATGGCGGTCCACTAATCCGTGACCTCTGCATTAAACCGAAGACAAAAGTAACGAGTAACGGTTGTTTTAAAAATGTAAGGAATAGAAAGTACAGATACTCGTGTGAAAATGTAATAAGTAGAAGTCAGAAGTATGAAGAAAAATAAGTAATGGAGTAAAGTATAGATACCTAAAAAGTGTACTTAAGTACAGTAATGAAGTATTTGTACTTCGTTACTTGACACCTCTGGACAAAATAAGTAGCCATTGAAAATAGCAGTTTTGTTATCCATGTCTGACACTTTGAAAAATAATATACTCAAATATATTTTCATATGCTGATATCAAATAGATTTTTAAAAACGCGGTATCGATCTACTTTACTTTCAAAATCTCGTGAAATTTCATCGTTCTGTTACAAACTCTCGTGAGATTTTGCAAATTCTTGTGAGATTTTGTTAGTAAAATAGATCGATACCGCGTCAATATATCAACATATAAAAATATGGCAAAATTTCGTGAATTTTCGGGGGATTTCGTAGCATAACGATGACATATAGCAATATTTCATTAGTAAAAGTGATTGATATGGTGTTTTTAAATGGCAATATTTCAGCATATGAAGATATTGTGATATTTTAATGTATCAATATTTTTTCCCTCGTCTTTAGAAGTTTTTAAGTCTGTAAAAAATAAGTTTTTGAGGAAGAAGAAGAAGTAGTATTTTTTTTAGACTTTAGAAACTCAGAAGCTGATCAAAAATCGGGTTAAATATCGGTGGGGTGGCCGATGTCCGATATTCAGTTTTAAGGCCGATACCGATAGGGGGCCGATTATATCGTGCATCCCTAATTTTATTCTAGGGGTGGAACGGTTCACAAAATCCACGGTTTGTTTAGGTTCACGGTTTTTGGTTCGGTATATGTTGATTGTTAGCCTGACATGTTGGTCGTGTTGCTGTTAGCATAAACAAAACGTGTTGCACAATGCTAGCACACTGTTTTAATCCACCACTTTCTTTCCTCCGTCATCGTAGGTCACTCTAAATGCAAAGTGGTCCCATACAGCAGACCTATAAAGTGCTGCTGGCGCGTCTTCCAACTCCTGTTCTTTCCCACTCGCCATACCCACACAATTCTCCACAACAACTGATTTTTTTCTGCTACACCCGGCTACGCTGCTTCGCTTCTTCTTCTTCTTGTTTACTACTGGTGGTTGGCTTTGGTCGCAGTACCGCCACCTTCTGCTCTGGAGTGTAAACGCTTCGCCTATGAGAAAAAGGAGCAGCGCATGAACCGAACGCAACACACGTAAACCGAACCGAGACAGTCGAACCGAACGGTTCGGACGGTTTTCATAAACCGTTCCATCCCTATTTTATTCTAATTGATATTTCATGTATTTATTTATTTAATGATAGATTGTAGCCAGAGGCTAATTTCTGTTAATTTCTTACAGCAGGTATCTCATTATCAAACACTTTACAGTTCTAACATCTCTCCCAATAAAACAGAAGTAAAATTCTCACCATACATTTTACAAATGGTTAAAACATGGGGACAGTCTGAACTGAATGTGTGAAAATGACCAGAAATGACAGAAATCAGCTGAGAGTTTCTGATCTGAGTCAAAGCAGCAGATCGTCTGAATGTGTTTGAGGTAACGGCGTCTGCCGCTCCTCTCAGATTCTGTCGCCGTGGCGCAGCAGAACACTGATCCTGCTTTTAGAAACAGATTTGAGTGCATAGATGTTAACACTGTCACTGATGTTTGTTTGCTTTTCAGAATCGTGCTGATCTGTGCGAAGAGGTCTCTGTGTGCCGCCTTCTCTGTCCTGCCGTACGGAGAGAGCTTCTACCTCAGGTAACTAACACCTAAAGGTTTAGATTTAACCTCAGCAGAATCAAATACAAGTTTTAAGAGGAGAAAGAAAAGCAGACCATGGGGGTAGATAAACTGGAAGATGTCACTTCCTCTTTGGAGACAAAGGAAAATGGGAGATGAAGCAGTTTGGGAGGCTGACATGAAGACAGAAATTCCTTGACCTCGGATTTCTCTGATAACTAACGGAAACACGCAGGCAGAATCGCAGATAAACATCCTCAGAGATACCGCACAGTTTTTACACCGATGAACACTGACTGTAGAGGAGCTGATATGAAAACAGCTGATCTGTTTTTCCTTAGAGTCCTTCTTTCAGGTCACAATCTGCTGCCTGATGTCATCATGTGTCACTTCTAACTTCCATCGACTTCTATTCATTTATAGCCGCTTTCAATTAGGGCTGCAGTTATTGATCAGTTTTCTCACTTAACTAAAAATTAATTCTTTCAATTAAATTATCATTTCTAAATAAACTAACATTGAAAATTTAGCCAAGAAAACCTTTAGTGCACATTTTAAATAAATTGTAAATCAGCGAAATGTATAAAAAGGTACAATATATGTAAATACAAATGGATTATATTGAAATACATTTTTGGTTGTAATATAATTACTGCTTTCAGGAGGTTTCTTTAACCCAAATATTAACCTAAACCTAATTCACACGGCAAAAAGGAAGTGAGAAACAGCAAAATGTCCTCATTTTGGAACAAAAGCTCCTCAGTTTGATCCTAAAACATCACAAACATGTAGGCTTATATGAACATATTAACAGTAGAGCTACTTTAGCATTTTTTACTCAAGCAAAAGTAAAAAGTAGTTCCAATATCCAACAAATGATAGTTAAAATTATTGGCAGCTGGTGGAGTTTTCTGTAGCAGGGGCTATAAATTCAAAATAGACATATACCAAAAACCAGTCAAACGTACCAAACCACTACCAAAAACATTATAAAACCCCTTTATAAAAACACAAACATAAAATCATGTACAGTTGTTTTTTTTGTATTTTTATTTTATTTTTTTTTGTACATAAATCTTGCCCTTCTGAGGCTTTGTGAAGGTAAATCTGTGTTCTGCATGGTCCAATATTTGGTTACAAAGCTTAAAAAAAAAGTGGACCAGTTTAATAAATTAGAAGCTAATATGTGTTTATTTAAGAGCAACTATAGAAATTAACACACATTTAGAAAAAGTAGACTATATTCTATTATGTGAATTCCAGATTGTTCATTTTTCTTTGCCTTTTCTATAAAGTGCTTTAAATCAGTCCTAGCTGTCTTTATCCATGCTGGATCAGATCCTGAAGTTTGAAAAAGGAGGCAGGGAAAACAGAATAAAGCTTTAGCCTCGCTGCATGCAGTTAGCCAAGCCTTGGAGCTAAAACAGGTCCTGGAAAAAGATGTTTCTTGCACCATTTCTTCGCACCTTAGCTGCACCCTGCTACTACGCATGAATATCTTTTAACGAGAGTCAACGGGCAAAGATTTTTTGCATCCTAGAGCGGAAATACGTCACCAATCCGACGAAAAATGAAACGACGTTTTACTAGTCATTAAAGATTAAATATTTACCCTGCACATCTAAAAACTATATATCAATATATTTCAAGATATTTTGATTTGATTAATTTAAAATCAAATTATAACAAAATATATAAATATTTTTAATGTCTTAATCAGGGTTATTGGGTGGGTGGAATGGCTCCCTAGCGCCCTCTATTGGCCATACTTGGTAAAACATATATTCAAGTACTCAGTAAATGTTAGTTTGTAACATCCGAATAATGCAGGTTATGCATGGATGTAAAAATTAAGAGCTTCCAGCTACATTATTTACTCTTTACTGTTTTTGCAGCTGATCTCCAATAGTTCCAGTTCCTGATGCTGGATGGAGGAACCATAAAACTACTCAAAATAAAGCAGGGATAAAATTGCAAGAATATTACTAAAGTAAAAGTAAAATGTTTTGTAAAGTAGAACTCCTCCTAATTGTAGCATTTTCATCACATGTAACCAGTTTCCTCTCACTTCTGTGTAAAACCATGATGAGAACTTTTTGTTTTTTTTTAGTTTTCTTGGTTTCATCCACAGAGAAAATGAGCTGAAACCTCACATTTCACTAACATGTGTGATCTGGAACTGAAAGGTTTCAGCTGTGTGGTTTCTGTGACCTTTCAGCAACCAGCGTATCTAGATCGACTGATCTATATAAGGAAACATGTTAAACTATTGAGCTAAAGGCGGTTTATTTTTAGTCCTCGGCTAATTAAAGTATTCAGGCCTTTTTCTGACTATTATTAAAGTAATGCTGCATAGCTTTTGATCCAAGTTTTAGCTTCATTTGAGATGAACTATCAGGTTCCAGAACATAGATTGACATTTTGAAGCAGCGATAATTCTGACTTCATGTGGTAAAGATGATAGTTTCCTTTTTTAAAGTGGATATTTCCAGCACATGTGTGCTTTTGTTGTGATAGAGAAGGGGAAATATGTATCCAAAAACGATCCCGACCTGCTGCTGGGGAAGGACTAAGGCTGGGCAATATAATCGCAATTTAAAAAAACGCAAATCACACTATATTTTTCAAGAGTAAGATGCTACATTTCTCACTACATTAGGTGGCAGTAAAAGGCTTAAAGTGGGTTTGTCATCGCACAGAAAGGTAGAGAGAGTTGTAGCTGTAAGTAGAAATAAAAACTTTTTTGCACAAATGTTTAAAGTCCTGCAATAATGGACTCTGTTCAAACAAGCTTTCAAAAACTGAAAGCCTGTGGCGACACATCTACCAGCTTGCGGTTTGTGCAAAGAAAAATTGAAATAAAACTGCAATACTGATTAAATATAATCGCAATTTAGGTTTTTTGCAAAATCGTTAAGCCTTATGCTGTGTTCACACCGTACGCAGCAGGAATAGCGAAATTTTTGCTGCTTGTACCAGTTTAGTTCTGACTTTGCTGCTCTGGCTGTGGGTCTGACGCACGTTGGGCGGAGCTTCACTATCCTTTCTCTGCCTTGCAGCTATATTTGCTGCGATCAGTGGGAATAAAGTAGTTTTAATATGTTTTTAAGTGAGAAAATCCACCTGAAAACTTAATCATTGCAGTCAGTTCATCCAAATTATCATCCTGCCTTCCAATATTATTTCTGTCGGAGCCGCTCAGACCCCCACATACCAGCGGTTTACTGTCAGTAGAATCCCCTTCAACAGCAGCCTCTGGCCCGGTCGCCTCCTCGCGGTTCACAGCAGGTGGCTGGTAGGTGTTTTTCATCTAAATAATCTAAACTGCAGGCAGCAGGATAATAAAAGCGAACATATTCTGTCGGCAGGTTTCAGCATTTTAAGTTAATTTAGGCGTCAATAAACTGTTTCAGAGGAGTGATCACAGCGCTCTGTATCATCAGCGATGTGTCTGTCTCTCTGCCAGCTCCCAGATCAGCGTCTCTGATTGGTTGACGCGGCGCGTCGAGCAGCAAAAGTTGCATTTTTCCATCTCGAGCAGCAACGCGTTGGCGGCGCTTCGCACGCATCAAATGCTCCCGACGAGCTGCTTCAGCTGCTCAAAACGCGCTGCGGGACCTTTTGCTGCGCCTTGACGCGCGTCAACCATTGACTTTGCATGTAAACTCACTGCTCCTGCCGCGCCAGCTGCGTCCGGTGTGAACACAGCATTAGGAAGGACAGTATAAACCTCCTAGTTCATCTGCTATGAGAAGAGGATGCATCAAATGCGTCGGCCAACGAGCCGATAAAATCAAACATTAAAGGAGAATTCCGGTTTTTTACACTTTAAAAAACCGGAATTCTCCTTTAACGGATATTTCGAAAACAACCAAAGCTTACATGGTGATAAGAAGGTTTAGTCTACAAACACAACAGGAGAGAAACATTTAACGATGCAGTTTTAACCACACATGATCGTTTCGCTGCTCTCTGCCATGTTGAAAGGTCAAAGTTTACCTCATCTCAGCAGCTCAGGTCAGTGGAAGTGAAAACATGAGTGGGCGTTCATATTGCAATGTTCATTTTGCTTTTGGTGTTTACCATCATTACGGCACCATAACGGTTGGTTCATGGGAGCTAAGCCTGGAAGTTACTGGTCTAGCTCCCCCTACTGGTTAAAGTATATTTTTCAAATGCAACAGTTTTTTTTTTGTTTTCACAGATAAAAAATAGTAAAGATTACAAACATTTTGGTTTTATAGAGCCGCCCTCTGCTGCAGGTCTTTAAGGAATTTCTCCACCAGCTTTTCAGTGAATTGTTTGCCTGTTAGTCTTTGCAGAGTAGCTCAAAGTCAGATGATTAAACAGCTTTAATGAAGTTTAATTTAGCTGACTGTGACCGATAAGGTCCAGGTTTTATTTCACTTGTGCTTCACCTGCAGCTTTTATACTAAAATGAAATCAAAGCTGCTTTTTTCCAGTTTATATTCTGCAGACTCACCATAAATCGGAGTCTGGACGTCTTAGAAATGTTGTTTATTTTTCTGTCAGCCCAGTGATCCCCTCCTGTCTCTGTTCAGTGACCCCACATTAAACCACACCAGGAGGAGACACTCTTCTGGGAACATTTCCACCACCCTGGAGATGCTGCCGGGGCTTGAGGGCTTCCAGCTGGACTCTTATGGGAGGGTAGGTGTCTCTGCTGGTTCCCACCCAGAGGTATCCGTCCCTCTGCTGCCCCCTCACTCTCTCTCTCTCTCTCTCAGTCTGTGTCCTACGCCCAGTTCCTGTATCCCACTAACGCTCTGGTGAGGCAGAAGCCATCATCGGCCAGCAACCTGACGCTGCAGATCCCCATGTCCAGGAGCACACACAGCATCCCTGGCAGGAGTCACCCCCCCAGCCGACTGAGCAGCACCGTGGGACTGGACCTGGGTAACCGATGCAAACTAGCACCAATGATCTACGTTAGCCTAAGTTAGGAGCAGATTCTGGAACATCCTGGGTGGTTCTGTCCCATAGGACGGCTCTGAGAAAAAGGAATAAGAATAAAAGTTTAAAAGAGCTTAGAGTGTAAATTAAATGACTCTTATTTCTTTGTTTTTTCAATAAGTCGATTAAAGGAGAATTTTCTAGAATTGCTTTAAAAGACCCGCCCTCTCCACTCTAAAAAAAAAAAGAAGCAAGTTTCTCCTGATGCACACTCTGTTTAAAAGTTGCTGTTCTCCTTGCTTATATAAGCTTATAACCCCTAAATCCCTCTATCACTATATAGAGCGGGGACTATATAGTGGACTTTATATTAAACTCAGTTAACTGACCGTTTGGACAGATGATCACTGCTTTTTAGGGCTGGTTTATACTCAGAAACCAGGTCGTCTGCAGATATGCCCCACCCCTTCCACAGACACTCTGCTGCACCTCTCCAAAAATGTTAGTGACCTGCAGACAGGAGGCCTCTGATTGGTCAAATCTACATCCGCTCTACACTATGCGTATTTCCTGTTTGGGTTCTTACCGGCTTGTTTTGTTTGTATGGCCACCATTGTGGAAAACGACTCGTGACACTTTTTTCCACCTGGATCCCTGCTCTTTTTGGCCCTCATGTCCCTCCATTGTCGCACAAACTTGCCCCTACTTCCTCACCGCCTCGGCCGTATCTAGACCCACAGCTAGTTCCTGATTGCCCCTCTTGCGTTGTGGCGTGGAATAACATAGCGCGGACCACGCTTCAATATTGGGCATTAATCTAAAATATCTATTTTATACCTGCGACAAGCTAACTGAAACACTCTGCTGGGGGAGGATAACCAGCCCTTTACTCCCCGTTGGTCACATAACTCCTCCTCCACTCCGCGGTGCCTGCGCTATCTTTATTAGTCCCTGTCTAGTGACAGCGAGCCGGTGGGACAACAAATATAGCATAATGCTTTGAGAGTAAAAAGCATTCTGGGATATTTCCGCCTCTTCCGAGGCCTTTCTTTTCCTCTCATACACTTCATAGACCCTTTTTCTCTTCCAGCCCTCGGCCATTTTAAAAGAATCGCGGGGAGAAAGGTGAGCTTCAATGACTGTCTGAAACCGTAGCTCATCACAGATATATGCCTGAAATTGCACAGAATGAGTTCGCTAACGGGACGAGCACATAGGACGACCTTATGTAAACATATCACCAGTTAGGATGACCACTAATTTAGATGATCCACCCAGAAATAAAAGATCGTAGGGCTGGGCGATATAGAAAAAAAGCATATCGATAAAAAAAATGCATATTGATCGATATCGATAATTATTGAAAAGATTTGAAACCATATTTTATGTGCAGCTCTGCCTGGACTTTTTATAATATTGCTAAATGATTTAATTTTAATAAAAAACACAAACACAGACTTCGAATTAAATCTTTATTTAACCAACTTTTTTAACCACAACAGAATTGTTTTAAAGAAAAATAACGTAAGAGACCTGGGTTATGTTATTAAACTCCACCGCCGCCCCCGTTTCCTGCTTTAACCTGAGTTATTACTTTGAAGTTTCTGGCCCCTCAGCATTTTTCTCTCAATTGTTAGAACTACGTGGGAAACTGCCCAGAACTTAATATATATATTTTCCCGAAGATTCCTCGGAGGAGAGCCGCGTCGGGGCCTACACAGCTCGTACTCCTGCGGGTGTGAGCGGCTGAGATGATAAAAAAAAAAAAAAAAGTTGGTTGTGTTATCAGACTTGGTTTTCACTGGTTCCCGACACATTTTACAGATGACTGTGGTTTGTTTTTGGTCCGACTTGCCATGACCGAAATACTGCCAGACTGCCGAACTACAAAAAACCTTCTTTGGAACAATTTCCTCCGCCTCTCCTTGCTGCGACATCTTCATGTGCTCTGTGTTGTGGTTTGAGAGGGCGGCGCTTGGTGACGGCGTGCCTGGGTCCGCGATTGCGATTGGTTGGGAGGAAGCAGTGACTAGCATAAACCTACATGCTAGGCTACAATGAGAAGGAAGGAAAACTGCGTTTCTTTTTTATCGAACTTTTATCAACCCTCTTTTTTTCTATTGCGCCACACGTCTATCGATCGATATATATAGCGTTATTGAATTATCGCCCAGCCCTAAAGGATCGTCCTCTATAGCTTCAATAATCACAAAGCAAAAGGTTCCTTGAAGACTTTTTACAAAATTAAAATAGGTGAAACTCAAACTTTTCTACTTCAGGATTTCTTGATAGAGCATACTGACTGATCAAAATGCAAAATGTTTATATATTTCTTTTTACAATTTTCCTTTAAATCCTGCTCTAAGCAGGTCCCTCTATCATCTAAAGGCTTGTTTTAGAGTCTCTATAATAAAGTTAGTGATTAGTCGATTACTGAATTAGTTGATGATTATTTCAATAATGGATTAATCTGAAGAATTGTTTCAGCTTAGATGATATAGAGCTATTATTGTCTATCCAGAGTCCTGTGACCTCATCAGTTCAGTTTCCTCCGTATCAGTTTTGCGTTGGAGTGTTTAGCCTCTTCTGTCTCACCTTTGAAACGTCTTTCTCCCTGGAAAAGATGAGTTTGTTTCTCTAACATCTCTGACCTCAGGAGTTCGTTGCTGACCTCAGTCTGAACGCTTCTGTTTATCTTCCCTCCTTCGTGTCGGTTTCTGATCCGTCTGACCACAGTCCATGTTTTCTGCAGCTCATAGGAAATCTATGCTGATTAGCAATTAGATCAGTAAAAGCTTCACTTTTTGCAGAAGAACATTTGACTAAAGTGTTGATAGATGTCCGGCTTTCTTTGCTTCTTTAGAAACTTAAAACCTGTTTCTTTGTTTTCTACTCTTTCATCAAAGAAATCTTTTGTCCCTTTTTTTTATCAAGTTGTTGATGAATCTTTGGCCTCAGCCGCTTCTTGCTTTGTTATTTTATTGTTAACTTTGTAACTTTGCTAACGAGGAGGAAAAAGCTCAGAGCTAAGCAGACATTTGCACTCACTGTTTAGACTTCTTCAGGGTTTTATTACCAAACAACGATAAACTTGGTTGATAAAAAAATCACTTTTTTCGTTTTCATGGGAAAACTTAAATCAGCACTGTGGAAAACTTCTTTCCTCTTTAGGCGTTTTTGTTAAATGTAAATGATTGTTTTACACTAATGTGAATAAATTGGGAGTTTCATTTTGGCCCTCTGGATTGTTTTGCTTAATATCAGTGGCTCTAAAATTTAACTGACTTTAAAGTCGTAGGGAAGTCATACTTAAATGTCAAATCATTCTGGCTTAAACATGTATATAAATGTACTCTTTATCAGACGACTATTTAAAAAAATAAAAAAAATAATCCTGTCATAAAATCTGTGTCTTTTTCGTTATCTTCTGCAGGCCAGTTAGTTCTACGTCAGCCTGAACACCTAAATTCAGCCAATCATATATCAACAGTCATCTGTCAATCGCATTTTTTCGGTCATAGCATCTTGATTCACATGTCGCAGCTAATATACGCAACGGTTGAAACCAGAATCCTTTCCTTTCCCATTGAGTTGCGTCCCAGTGTTCACGGGGATGGACGTCTGTGTCTTCTGCAGGCGTAGAGCTAACAGAACTGGCAGCGTTGCGAGGCAAGGGCTCAAACATGTACGGCTGGAAGCCTTCTACACCAAACCAAGCTTCTGCCGCCCTGGCGTCCTCTTCCACAACATCTTCGTCCCCGCTTTCCTCCTCTAAATAAAAAATGGATGACGGAGGAGACTCATCCACGACCTCCGACACTAAACTCTCCTCCTCTTGCATGTTTCCGCTGTCCATAGCGTTCCTTGACAGCGTCGTTTCTAAGTCACCAATTTAGTGCTACTTGGTCCCAATGGAATTTCCCATTGGGAACCTGCTAGCACTAAGATGCTAACTGGTTAGCAGGATGCTTCCAACAAACCGGCCACAACCAAACTTGCTTGCGAACCTTCCACCACAAAAATCCCGCCCCCTTGATAATCGACCAATCACAGTCACTTTATTCACTCGTATAAAGTCGTGCACCACTCGGGAGAATTCGGAACTGCACCGGTTGGAACAGCTGCTTCCCAATGATTTTAAACCTGGTCATCAGCCTTTTAGATCTTCTAGTAGAAAGCAAAATTCATTTTTTCATCCATTATGGTGCGTCCTCAAAGTCCTGTGTATCAAAGCCACATCATCACACCACCACCACCGTGTCCGGCTGTCAGCCTGAGTTGATTTGTTTCAGTGCCGTTAGCTTCAGGTTTGGTTTTACACCTCAGTGTTTGTCACATCAGTCTTTTTTTAATCCAAAATGAACTGTTGTGTATTTTCTGAGTCATCAGTGTCTTTTTGTCCCCCCTGGATCTCATCCATGGAGACCCTTTTCACCCACGCTGCCTCTTTCTAATTGCTGCATCATGAATGCGAACGTTAGGGATCTGAGGAACCATTTTAGTTTAAATAGAACTTTATTGATCTCCCAATAGAGAAATTAACTATTTGCATTTAACCCATTTCCTTGAGGAGCAGTGGGCTGCCATTATGTGGCGCCCGGGGAGCGTTCTGAGTATTTGCAACCTTCTCAGAGCACAAGCTCACAGGCCAACACTCCTAAAGAAGTGATAGAATAGTGACCTTTCCAGCGTCTTCCCCGTCTTTCCCCCAGAATAGAGTAAAATAGGCACCAGCTCCCCTGCATACATACGAGGGAAAGTAGGAATAGACAGTGGATCCTTTTATGAGCTATTTAAGTGTCATAGAAGAAGCAAAACACACCTTTTAGTTCAGTTTATTTCTATTGCTCCAATTCACGACTCATCATCCCAGGTCACTTTGCAGAGATTGTTTAATCAGATCATCCAGTCAGATTGGTTTAAAAAGAAAAAGTTTTCTATCTATGAACCAGCTGATTGTTTCGCTGACTCTGCAGCGAAGTAATGCACAGCGTGCATGCATTGGAGTGGAGAGGAAAAACTCGCTTTTATCAGAAAGAACTGGATCCGACCACTCGGATCCAGCTCCAATGCAGAAATCACAGCTAAACGCGGTCTGAACGCACCTTTAGAGTCCTGGTTTGTTTTTAAATATCTTGTTTCTCTGCAAAAATGATCTAGAATAGGTAAAAATTTCTTAAATTAAGGTTAATTTCACCCTAATATGAGGAGATAAATAAAAGGTTTTACCAATGGAATGAGAAACTTCCACACAATATACAGGAAATGTTTGGTGACAGAGAAGGGGGTTATGATCTAAGAGGTGAAGGATACTTTAAAAAACAACACTTTAAAACAACCAGAAAGAGTTTTTGTTTATCTGTGTGTGGAGTAAATATCTGGAATGGATTGAATGACGAGTTTAAAAAAATTCAAAATGCAAACCAATTTAATAAACTGATTAAAACCGAGCTCATTTCAAAATACACTGTATGACTGTTTAATAGTCTATAATGTAATTGATGACATAAATAGAACTTAAAATAATTGTACATGGCTAAACATCATGTGGAATGGAAACAAGTGTTTTTTTTTTTGGTTTTTTGATGTTTTGACATTTAATTGAGGATAAATTGACAAGTAGGAAAGGGGCAGGACATTATAAGATGTATCTTCTACCTGCTCCTTTTCTAACAGAAAATATAAAATTTACATGCACATGGGCAAAATAATTTGTTTTATACTTTCATTCTTAAGTTTGTTTCATTCAATTTTTTTTTTTTTCTTTCTTAATTGTTTTTACTGTCTGTTCGAAATAAATAAAATAAATAAATAAATAAATAAATAAATAAGAATATTTACTCTTAAAATAAGATAATTAGATAACATGCACTTGAAATATGTCAATGCAAATGTTTATTATTATTTTAAATGTAAATTGTCTTATTGCATTGGCAAAGTGTCTCACTTCAAGTAAGTTATTTAGATTTCAATTTGTTCTAGTGTGATTTATTTATGATATTTAGAACATTTGTCTTTGAAAATGAGAGCTTAATGGTCTTTTTGAAAGAATTGACTGGCCTTAATTTGCAATTATTAATTTGAAATAGTCTCCAAAGGACAATATTAGCTAATATGGATTTTTTTTTTTAAGAAAGCCACCAAATTCACTTAATCTGTGGTCCATTAAATTAATTTTTGCACTACCATAAAAACATAATTTATTAATGTTTTGTTTTCTTCCTCGTGGGTCTGTCGCGTTTAAAGGTTTTAATTTAGTCATTTTGGTTGTAAAATCCTGAAAGCTCCATAAAAACAATAATGAAGATCTCATGAGTCATTATGTCATCTTATACTGAGATGTTTATTGATGGTTTCCTTGAAATGAGATATAAAAAGTTAATCCAGGAAGTGAAACCAGAAGGACAGGAAGGTAAAAATAAAAAGACGGATGAAGGGCGCAGGAAGTGAAAACAAATGGAGGATGGAGGGCGGGACGTTGAACAGCTGTGCTGAAGTTTGGGTCAGAATGTTTCAAACACATCTGTCCTTGTTTTTAGACCCCGTCTGTCTCGCTCTTTATCTGTAAACACGGAGGGTCGGGGGGATTGTTTTTAATGTAACGCAGCTGTATGGGTGGGGTGGAATGTGGGGCGGCTCACATGCGAGGTAATGTACACACAGATGGGAGGCTGATGCATTTAGTCACCTTGTGCTGATAGTTAGCTGCTGACCGTGATGCCAAACTTACAGAGGGTCAGAAAACAGTCATGGGGCAGTTTTCACTTTTAGGAAATGTTGCTGTGTTGGTTTTTGAAACTTAATCTCTTTCCTGCAGTTTTTATAACCCTGGTCCTCTGGACACTGCATGTCTGGGATGTTTTCCAGCTTCTCACACCTGATATCAATTGATATCATATAAACGGGCTTTGCTGAACTGCAATCATCTGAATCGTGTAGAGAAACACCTAAAGCCGGGCATACACTGCAATATGTTCAGTGTTTGTAGTCCACTACAGCTAAAACCTCAGGTTTTAAAAGTTCACGGCTCACAATGTTTGTTCTCACACTGTGTGACCCCATGCTCTGCTCGATCTACCTGCTCATTTTGTACGTCCTAAAACAACCACACGTTGGACTCGGAGCCGGGAGCTAAGAGCTGGTCAGACTCATCAATCTGGAAGAAGAAGAAGTCCCTTGTTTGCACATGCGCAGTGCTCGAGGTTCTGGTAAATCGGCTAGTAGCTCTGCTTCAACAGCAGGATTTGCCCACGACCACTGCAGCTGGGCCGACTGAATTCCAAATATGATTTTCTCACGACCTTACGATTTCTCATCCAGAGGTGGTCGCGAGAGGCTAATCCCCCCTCTATAACCCCTGTATACTACATGACACAGGACACATGACGAAGCTGAAACTCAGCCCAATCGAAGAATTCTCGCATGACTTAAGAATCGGTCCGAAAAGGACAAAAAATAGTGTACGCCCGACTTAAAACATGCATGGAAGTGGCCTTGAAGACCAGAGTAGAAAACAAAGTGATTGAAGGATGGAACGGTTCACAAAATCCACGGTTCGGTTCGGTTAACCGTTTTAGTGGTCACGGTTTTCGGTTCTGTATATGTTGATTGTTAGCCTGACATGTTGGTCCTGTTGCTGTTAGCATAACCAAAACGTGTTGCACAATGCTTGCACACTGTTGCACTTTTATCCACAACTTTCTTTCCGCCGTCATCGTAGGTCACTCTAAATGCAAAGTGGTCCCATACAGCAGACCTATAAAGTGCTGCTGGCGCGTCTTCCAACTCCTGTTCTTTCCCACTCGCCATACCCACACAATTCTCCACAACAACTGATTTTTTTTCTGCTACACCCGGCTACGCTGCTTCGCTTCTTCTTCTTCTTGTTTACTACTGGTGGTTGGCTTTGGTCGCAGCACCGCCACCTTCTGCTCTGGAGTGTAAACGCTTCGCCTATGAGAAAAAGGAGCAGCGCATGAACCGAACGCAACACACGCAAACCGAACCGAGACAGTCGAACCGAACGGTTCGGACGGTTTTCATAAACCGTTTCATCCCTAGTTTATAATCTCAGCTGTATAAGGTACCCGGTTTTTTTTTTTTTCTCCGAACCCAGTATTGTTGAGCCTGACATTTTATTACCATAATTTACCAGGTCCAACAATAGAAATGGCCACGCCTAACCAGCTGAGTTGATGTCTTCATCCAAAGTTGTACCGACATCTTTAAGGGCGAAGAGGCACCTTCCTCTTCACTTGTCCAACAGGGATGGCGGGGCAGAGCGGCTATCGACATTCGGCTTAACTCTACAGGGTAGCATTGTTAACATTAGCTGGCTAATGTTAATTTAGGAAGACCTTTGTAATTAGGAAATTAAAGTCTTGTATGACTAGCTTGCGTGATATTACTGATTCTTTGCAAATCCTAAAGGCAGATCATTTAAAGTAAACTTTTAAATGTTATATAGTATGTGAGCAATATTAACCTCAGCATGAACTGCCCCTCTCTGCCTCCGATTGGCTCACTGGTCGTCATCCCTACAGCTAACCAATGTAGCAGTAAAGCCAGTGAGTACGAGCCAATTAGAAGCAGAGTAGCCTCGATGATGGCTTCACCATCCTTGGAAAAAACTGGCAATTTGGCTCAGAGATTCTGCTTAATAGTGTGGATGATTGGGGATTTAGAAGTGGGTACACGCAATGCTGATTGAAAAATAAGTGGGTTTATATCATATACCCTAGTCTACACAACTGTTAGCGAGAGCTCTCCTCACAAAGTATCAAGGGTTTTGTCCTAGTGGCGACTCATAACAAAGATGGCGCAGGCACCATTTGGGGAGATGGAGTTACGTGATCAACAGAAAAGTAGTATATATAGTGTATATAGTACATATGTTCATCCTGTGGTTTCACATCAAAACATCTCTGAAGTTTTTAAAAAGGCTCAATATGAGTCTGATCTGTCCAAAGGATGCCGTCAGTATAATTTGACAAAACTCTCCACATTTGGATCTTTGGATAAACCAGCAGATCAGTGTGGCTCTTCTTTTTTCTCTCCGTTCCACATGTTTAGCCTTTTCATTTTTAAGGACCATCTTTATTTTACTGCATCCATTTTCTGATGTATAACAACCAATTACATGCTTCACTTTAATGCAATGATAGTATTTTTCTTTTCTTTGCTCTTCAGGTGTGGAAGATGTGACTGAATACGACCCCAACCTCCTCAGTGACCCCCAGTGGCCTTGTGGGAAACATAAGCGGGTTCTGATCTTCGCCTCCTACATGGTAGGAACTCAGAGTCTCTGTGTTCATTAAACGGCAGCCTCATATTTTTAGGTTTTGGGAGCAGCTCATGTCTCCTCTCACCTCCGCAGGCTGTTTGACACCTTTACTGATCTCTGTGTCAGACGGTCGATGCTGCAGCTGAGGCAGACCTCAGACTAACCTGCTCTGGGTTCTCTGTGTGACGCCGGCTAACAGCGCCGACCTGCCTGACGGCTCCAAGGCTTTAGCAGCAGATCCTTTAAGCCCTTTAGGCTGAGATTTGCGTGTCAGATCTGCTCCAGCTCATGGGCGGGGCGCCGTCTGTCTTCTCCACCTTTGCTCTGTTCTCCTTTGGAGACCAGGAATCACAGTTTAAGCTGTCATTCATTTTATATTTGATCATCAACTCTGACTACTTTTAACCATCCTGAGTCTGATAAATTCATTACAGGAGACTGAATTTATCTAAAGACGTTTTACTGATTTCTAACTGCAGGTCTAAAATCATTGGGTCATTACATCGTTAAGGAGATAGCTTATTAATGTAGCCCCTGCTATCGTTTGATTCAGTCCTGCTGTCTTTGCTAAGTTAACAGTACTTTATTCCACAGCAGCTGCTTTCATGCTTTCATTTATATGTTTTAATAGTTTTTTCAACAGAAAAATAAAAAATTTTACTTGTTTGTTACTTTTAACCCTCGAATTACCATCCAGTGAAAGAGGACAGATTAGCTCAGGGTTCTTTTCTTCATTTTGAGACATTATTCCACTATTAAAAACCCCCAAAGTGCTAAATATGAGTCAAAACTAAGTTACCTTAGACAAAAGGGCTTATTAATTAATATATGGGAATTTTTCAAACCAATTACAGTTACTACGACGCAGTATTAGGTCAAGGTTGGAGATTTTTCTTTTTCATTTCTTTTATTTTGAGAATAAAGTTGTGATACTGCGAGAATAAAGTCGTAACTTTACGAGAATGAAGGCATCATACCACAACCTGTTTCAGAAAGAAAGCTTGGAGCTCCAACTAGGGGTGTAAATCCCTCCCATCATGGCGATTCGATTCAGTATCGATTTGATTCGACTCCATTATTTCCAATACTCAAGAATACGCCACGATACGATTCGATTGTTTCTTTTTTTTTTATTTACCTTACAGGCTAGACAATGTTTCAAATTTGAAATAAATCAATGAAAGTGTTAATAGCGTTATTTATTGTTTTTGAGAAATAACAGCAAGTAGCAGAAGTAGAAAAGTTGCACTCCACCTATTCCTATTAAAACCTCATTCACTGAAAAATAATAACACCCCTCCACAGACGCTCTCCTGCACCTCTCCAAAATTGTAGCTGACGGCTTGTTTTGTTTTTATGACCGAAATTGCGGAAAACAACTGGTGAAGTTTGACCCGCTAGAAGAGCGAGGTCCGTGAGAACGCTGGGACCCTTTTCCCACCTGGATCTCCGCTCTTTTCGGCCCTCATGTCCCTCCGCCGTCGGACTAAACTCGCCCCCACTTCCTCGCCGCCTCGGCCGTATCTAGACCCACAGCGTGTAGCACAGACCACGCTTCAATACTGAGCATAATTTAAAAATGTCTGCATCAAGCTCACTGCAACACACTGCTGTAAGAGTATAAACAGGAAGGAAGGGCAAAATAGGTTTAGCGCCACCGCAGCACGGGAGGGGAGAATTACGCCCAGGAGCAAATGGATAAAAATAGACCGGAGAAAAAAAAACATGAATCGATTATCTTGCGGACGTATCGATGCATCGGATCGTCGGCTGTTGGATCGATGCATCGATACAAAACGATTATTATTTACACCCCTAGCTCCAACCAGCAGATGGCAGCCGACAAGCACCAACAAACAGCCACTTTGACATCCTGCCCAATCTGATGCTGGTGCTAAAAGATTTTCTTATTTCTGAAACCGATGCCAAAGTATAACTTCACCTGATGCTTGACATTCCTCATTCTGGAGAAGAAAGTGTGTCTTGTAGGAGTTGACATAAAATACAACTTGTTCTCATAATCAGAAAGGAAATCCAAAAGACACGCAGCAGAACATAACGGTGAGAAAATTCAATGCAAAAATGTTGTTGGAATCTCTGAAAAACTCAACAGGATTTTCTCCAAACTCAAAATCCCAGAACATTTGAAACCAAACAAAACCCTTAAACAGAGACCAGTGCATCATAAAGACAAAGCAGACACAGCAGTGGTGTCTGCAGTTCAATGCAGTGAGGAATGCTCTGATCTTTATATTGGAGAAACCAAACAACCTCTCAACAGATGCATGACCCAACACAGAAGAGCGCCCTCCTCTGGACAAGACTTTGCGCTAAATCTACACCTTATGGACAAAGGACACATTCTTTGGAAGAGCAGAATGTTCACATTCGTAAATAATTACGATAAGAATAAATTCTCTGAACATGATTTCTGTGACATGGCAGGTTGAAGGGTTTCCTCCACATCCATGAATGTTTCTATAGACTAACCTGATGTTTTCAGTAGTTTTCCAGACTCTGATCTTGTTCTAATAGCAGAAATCTTTCCTCCCTTGTTGTTTACGTTCTCATGCAGCCTCCTGACTGTTGTTTGACGGTTCACTACCTCTGCTTACACTCCAGCAAGACCACAGAGATCAGTTTTCCTCTGTTTATCCTTTTTTTTCTCCTCATTTTGTTCGTTTCCTTCCCCCTCAGACGACGGTTATCGAGTACGTCAAACCGTCTGACCTGAAGAAAGACATGAACGAGACCTTTAAGGAGAAGTTCCCCCACATTAAGCTCACGCTCAGTAAAATCCGCAGGTAAAGTTTAACAACCTGGAGACGCGTCTTAATTCGGTCCGCCGTCCCCTCACCCCTGCTGTCTCTGTCCCCCCCACAGCCTGAAGAGAGAGATGAGGATCGTCGGGGAGGACTGCGGCCTGCAGCCCGTCACCATCGCCATGGCGTTCGTCTACTTTGAGAAGCTGGTGCTGCAGGGTCGCCTCAACAAACAGAACAGGTCAATTAAAACCTTTCTGGCTGTTTTTAACTGCAGAACTGACTGTAGATTTCTTGCTGTCGCCGCCGCTCTCTTTACTGGAACAATTGCGCCCTCTTGTGTTTATTTCATGTTGTTTGGTTTTATTGGGATAAAAAATAAGGGGACTTTACCGTTAAGACTCTTATAATATCCACAAAGCTTAATGATAATCACAGTTGAACCTGTTTCTAGAAGTTTTAAAAGATATCATAAATATCCCTTTTCTTACAGGAAGTTGGTGTCGGCTGCCTGCATCCTGCTGGCTGCTAAGATCAGCAGTGACCTGAAGAAACAGGAGGTCAAACACCTCATAGACGTGAGTCTCCGCCCCTCAGTGACACAGTCGGGCTGTCAGATCAGGTTGCTCATGTGTTGATATGGCTGTTCTGTCTGAGCAAGCGGAAAACGTGCGCCTTGCATTGCTGAGCTGCAGAATCTGAGTGATTTTCTGCAACGCATCTTTGCTTGAGGTTTCAAAGTCGGTGCTTTTAGATTCTGTTTTTATAGTAAATAGAAACTAGTTTGTGCCGCTTGTTTTCCTCAGTGAGCTGCAGAGGTTCCCTGAAGTGGACAAAATCACAAAGATTCACCCTAAACTGGTCTTTATATAGATATAAATCTTTATCGGCTGATGTTTGTCATCATTCAGCTAATCTTTATCGCTCCATACGGTAAAACTGGTATATGTCTGGTCAGGTCTCACTGAGAGGAACCAAAGTTATTGAGTAATGGTTAGTAGTTAGGCAAGGCAAGGCAAATTTATTCATATAGCACTATTCAGCACAAAGACAATGCAAAGTGCTTCACATGATTAAATACAGGAAGATAAAACAGAATCAAAGCAAGAAGGAAAAAATAAAAAGGGCACAGAGCTTGGAATCCTGAGGTTGTGAGTTGGAAACCCACTCCCACAGACTGCCACTCTGTGTCTCTGAGCAAAGACCCTTAAAAAATTTCTCCATTGTGAGATCAATAAAGTTTAATTATTATTATTAGCATCTAAAGCTGATTGATCTATTTCATCAACAGGCAATTATTTGATGATCATTTTCCTGAAAACCTGTTTTATCTTCATTTAACAGAATCTTTCCATTAACTTTAAGGGGAAAACAAATTTTCCCTCTATATGCTGATTTGAAAACATCATTATATTCTATTTGTGGTTCCAGCTGTATTCAATACAGACTGAATTAGATGCTTATTTATAAATAAAACATTTATTACGTTCTGTATATTTGTCCAATATGAACCTATTAGCTTACTGTATAAAAAAATAAAATCTGTGAAACATTTCTATCATTAACAGACAGGGTACGTCGCTGTGACCGTTTACCTTTGTTCCAATGAAGCGGATGCTAAAGTCGGGCGTACACTACAATTTTTTTTTTCCCTTTCGGGCCGATTCTCCAGTCGTGCGAGAAATTTTCAATCGTGCCGACTTTCAGCCTGACAGTGCGTGGTGTAGCCTACAGGGGGTAACGAGGGGCGATCAGCCTTTAACAACCAGTGTCAAATGAGTCAAATCATTCAGTGCACAACGAAGGATTCTTTTTCTTCTTCTTCCTCTCAGATTAAAAACCCAGCAGCATGGCGGGGGTGCAATGAGTGAAATGCAGTTCTTTCTTTAAAATTGACAGACCATAGAAGCCACGTTTGCTCAGCCGTGTCTTTGTCCAAAAACGTCGTCAACTTTTCTTTTTTCCACAAATTTCGAAGGCAGCTCGTTTCACTCTAGTGAGCTTCATATTCCCCTTCTACTCGTTTGGCTTCCGGATAGACGAGTCCTAGTAGCGCCATCTCACTGAGGAGCTGAGTCCCACCTGGTTTTTAGACGTGGAGTGTGAGCAGGTAGATCGCATCAGAGCGTCAGGTTGCACAGTGTGAGAACAAACATCGTGAGCTGAGAACTTTTAAACTCTGAAGGTTCTTCGTACAGTTAAAGCTGAAGCTGCATGCAACGATTGAAAACATCGCACAGTTTATGCCCGGCTTAAATAGGAGCTAGCTTTCTGGTTTTAATGGAATCCATCAACCAGTAATCAGGCTAACGTGCGCTGTGTGCTAGCTAAAGTAGCAAAACGCTGCTAAAGACTGAGGATAATAAAGGCGGACTGGATAAAAGGTTTGCAAAAAAAAACAAAAAAACAAACAAAACAAAAATCAGCAAACTTTAACTAAAGTTCTAAAACCAAAAAGCCTTAAATAGAAATACTTAAACCCCACTGAGTGAAGGTGTTTGGTTTCTCTGCAGAAGCTGGAGGAGCGCTTCAGGATCAGCAGGAAGGAGCTGATATCGTTCGAGTTCATCATCCTGGTTGCCCTGGAGATGGCGCTCTACCTCCCAGAGAGTAAAGTGTTGCCTCATTACAGACGGCTGGTGCAGCAGCAGCAGGTGTAGCCGTGCCTGGCTCAGCGGCACTGCGGCAGAATGCTGCTCCTTCTACCCGGACCCTCTCTGTACCTTCCATCTCCTACACTGTGATCCTCATCATGCCTTCGTCTGCTTGGAGACTACAGGTGCTGGTCATAAAATTAGAATATCATGAAAAAGTAGATTGATTTCAGTAATTCCATTTAAAAAGTGAAACTTGTATATTATATTCATACATTACATACAAACTCATATATTTCAGATGTTTATTTTGTTTAATTTTGATGATTACAAATGACAACAAATGAAAATCTCAAATTCATCATATCAGAAAATTAGAATATTGTGAAAAGGTTCAAAATTGATGGCCCCTGGTGCCACACTCTAATCAGCTAATTAACTCAAACCACCTGCAAAAGCCTTTAAATGGTCTTTCAGTCTAGTTCTATAGGCTACACAATCATGGGGAAGACTGCTGACTTGACAGTTGTCCAAAAGACGACCATCGACACCTTGCACAAGGAGGGCAAGACACAAAAGGTCATCGCTAAAGAGGCTGGCTGTTCACAGAGCTCAGTGTCCAAGCACATTAATAGAGAGGCGAAGGGAAGGAAAAGATGTGGTCGAAAAAAGTGTACAAGCAAGAGAGATAACCGCACCCTGGAGAGGATTGTGAAACAAAACCCCTTCAAAAATGTGGGGGAGATTCACAAAGAGTGGACTGCAGCTGGAGTGAGTGCTTCAAGAACCACCACACACAGACGTATGAAAGACATGGGTTTCTGCTGTCGCATTCCTTGTGTCAAGCCACTCTTGAACCACAGACAGCGTCAGAAGCGTCTTGCCTGGGCTAAAGAGAAACAGGACTGGACTGCTGGTGAGTGGTCCAAAGTCATGTTCTCTGATGAAAGTAAATTTTGCATTTCCTTTGGAAATCAAGGTCCCAGAGTCTGGAGGAAAAGAAGAGAGGCACTTCATCCACGTTGCTTGAAGTCCAGTGTAAAGTTTCCACAGTCAGTGATGGTTTGGGGTGCCATGTCATCTGCTGGTGTTGGTCCATTGTGTTTTCTGAGGTCCAGGGTCAACGCAGCCACATACCAGGAAGTTTTAGAGCACTTCATGCTTCCTGCAGCTGACCAACTTTTTGGAGATGCAGATTTCATTTTCCAACAGGACTTGGCACCTGCACACAGTGCCAAAGCTACCAGTACCTGGTTGAAGGACCATGGTATCCCTGTTCTTAATTGGCCAGCAAACTCTCCTGACCTTAACCCCATAGAAAATCTATGGGGTATTGTGAAGAAGAAGATGCAATACACCAGACCCAACAATTCAGAAGAGCTAAAAGCCACTATTAGAGCAACCTGGGCTATCATAACACCTGAGCAGTGCCACAGACTGATCGACTCCATGCCACGCCGCATTGCTGCAGTAATACAGGCCAAAGGAGGCCCAACTAAATACTGAGTGCTGTACATGCTCATACTTTTCATGTTCATACTTTTCAGTTGGCCAACATTTCTATAAATCCTTTGTTTTTATTGGTCTTCAGTAATATTCTAATTTTCTGATATGATGAATTTGAGATTTTCATTTGTTGTCATTTGTAATCATCAAAATTAAACAAAATAAACATCTGAAATATATGAGTTTGTATGTAATGTATGAATATAATATACAAGTTTCACTTTTTAAATGGAATTACTGAAATCAATCTACTTTTTCATGATATTCTAATTTTATGACCAGCACCTGTAAAAGCTGCGACCGCAGGGCGGCACTGCCTGGCTCAAAGGTAGAGCAGCGAGGGGGCGTGGCTTCAAATCAGGCTGTCTTCTGGATCCACTCTTCTTTTAGATGTAGAAGAACGTTGAGCTGCTCTCTGTTCCTCTGCAGCAAATGAAACCATCGACTGAGGAAAACATCCCTGCTCACTACAGACCAGTACGATCTGGTTCCTGTCAGTAGAGTCCCACATTTGATCCTTGCACTTCTGATAAACACACGCTTTAAAAAAACAACTAAAGTCAGAAAGAAAACAAAAAATCTCCCTAAATTAATAATAAACTTAAAGGATGTGAAATAACTTTAACATCTCTGACATTTAGAGGAAAAGTCCGGTCAGAATCCAAACTTCTGAAAGTACTTTAAATATAAAATTATTATGATCAGTGTTTTTAATTCAGAGTAATTTTCATGTGAATGCTTTACTGGAGGCATCCATGTTTGTCAAAGAACACTACTGCCACCTACTGGTTAGTGACATCACGGTGCGGTATCAGCTGTTGATCAAGTCCCAGTGCTGTATCTGGTGTTTGTCACAACGCGCTATTATCCAAGTCGTCTTGAAAACATTCTTCTTCCAAATGTTGGCTACATATTACGGGTTTTTTCAGTGTAGTCCTGTTTCTCTGACTGTGACTGGCTGGATCAGCTCTGCTGGATCAGGAATCAGAAAGGTGGAATAACTCTTTTCTTCACTTTTACCCGATGTATTCCAGCATCCAGCTGCCATGCACGTGGGCATTGTCAGTTTCACTATAGCTCTGGTGAATTTCAATGGTGAAGTCCTCTGGAAATCTTCAATAATTGTTGTTGATTGCAGATGTGTCTAGTAGTTCCCATTGATTTAGCTTGTAAAGCGGGGAGAATGGCGCTAGGCTTACCGCACCGTGACGTCACTGCCGGAAGATGGCAGGAGGGAGGGGCTACTATATTTGGGTAAAAATGGCCGCTCTCAGACAAAAAATTTTTTTAATTATTTTTATTGTTTTACTGATTGAGGCTAAATTCATTAAATCACAGTTTTAGTTTTAGGTATAAATAATGATCCATTGATTATTCCTGCTGATCAGACTTTTCCTTTAATGTTTCAGTTGAACTGAAATAAACCCACAGAAGCTTTCAAACATCAAACAGTTAAACTGCACTTAAAAAATCCAGAGAATATTACAAAAATATGAAAATATTTTACATTTAAACACAGGAGACACTAAAAACTTATAATAGACTCAGTCTAACTTGGCAGCAATAGAAGGAAAATATTAAAGAAAAATTAAACCTTTACATTTTCATTTAACTTTATTAAACAAATTTTATAAAACCAAAATGTTCCAGAGGAACAAATAAAGAAAGGAAAGAGTGGATAAAAAAAATAGAATAACGGGCATTTAAACCTCAGAATAACAATAAAAACATTTAACTGCAGATATTTTCAGTTTAAATGTAACGAAATATCTGTCAGCCTGTTCAGGATGAGAGTAATGGACTTAGGAGTTTATAAGAAGTTTTATTTACTGTGACTAAAGAGTATTTACCAAATATTTCATTTCATTGTGACGTTGCCAAACGTTCCTGTAGTTTGAGCAACATTAGAGAAAACCAACAATTTTAAAAACAGGTTTCTTTAGGACTTCAGTTGCATCAATACTAACATTTTTATAGTGTTTTTTTTTATTATTTATTATTATTGATGCTTTTATGAATCTAATGGGGAAAAATTATCCTCACATTTCTGTGTATTTAAGAGTTTCAGGCTAAACTAAAATAAATTAGTTTTGTTTTCCTGAAGAACCAAAAACTTTTCTTACTCAAAAACAATAAATTCACATCTGTGCAGTTAATGAGCAGCAACTGCATAGAAATATAGCAGCTGTGGTTTAGAAGCAGCATTAAAAAGGAATAAATTCAGAATATCTCACATGAAATATGACTCTGAACTGAAATAAAACGCTTCAGATCAGCAGCTGAGCTTCACGCCTGCATCTGGACTCCATGTTTACTGAGGAGCGGGACGTCCCTGAGAAAAAAACTCAATTCAGGTTTTAGGGTGAACTGATGGGCGACTTTAAATGTGTAGCCATGGTTACACTAGGAAAAAAAAATCTAAATCTAAAGTCATTTTTTCTTAAAATAAGTGCATTTTTTTCTTGAATTGAGGAGGTGAAAGAGACATTTTGCCAATGGAATAAGAGTATTTACAGTTAAAATAAAACACATTTGCATTGTCTAATTTCAAGTGCATTTTATGTAAATATCTTATTTTAAGAGTAAAAATACTCTTTCCATTGGCAAATCATCTCACTTATAGCCCGTTTCCGCCACTCTATAATAAAAAAAATTATCTCATTATAATGAGATAGTAACTCAATATAAGGAGATAGTATCTTATATCGATATGAGTTACTATCACATTATATTGACTATATATATATAACTCATTATAATGAGTTAGCATCCCATTATAATGAGATGGTATCTCAATATAATGAGATACTGTAGTATTTCAATATAATGGGATACTAACTCAATATAATGAGATACTAACTCGATGTAATGAGATAGTATCTCGATGTAATGAGATAGTATCTCGATGTAATTAGATAGTATCACGATATAATGAGATAGTATCGCGATATAATGAGATAGTATCTCATATCGATATAATGAGATAGTATCACAATATAATGAGATAGTATCGCGATATAATGAGATAGTATCTCATATCGATATTATGAGATAGTAACTTGATATAATGAGATAATATCTCGATATAATGAGATAATGTCTCGATATAAGGAGATAATACCGCAATATAATGAGATAATATCTCGATATAATGAGACGATATCTCGATATAATGAGATAATGTCTCGATATACTGAGATAGTATCTCGATATAAGGAGATAATATCACGATAAAATGAGATAGTATCGCGATATAATGAGATAGTATCTCATATCGATATAATGAGATAGTAACTTGATATACTGAGATAGTAACTCGATATAATGAGATAGTAACTCGATATAATGAGATAATATCTCGATTTAATGAGATAATGTCTCGATATAAGGAGATAATACCGCAATATAATGAGATAATATCTCGATATAATGAGATAATATCTCGATATAATGAGATAATGTCTCGATATAATGAGATAGTATCTCGATATAAGGAGATAATATCACGATAAAATGAGATAATATCGGGATATAATGAGATAATGTCTCGATATAATGAGATAATGTCTCGATATAATGAGATAGTATCTCGATATAAGGATATAATATCACGATAAAATGAGATAGTATCGCGATATAATGAGATAGTATCTCATATCGATATAATGAGATAGTAACTTGATATACTGAGATAGTAACTCGATATAATGAGATACTAACTCGATATAATGAGATAATATCTCGATTTAATGAGATAATGTCTCGATATAAGGAGATAATACCGCAATATAATGAGATAATATCTCGATATAATGAGATAATATCTCGATATAATGAGATAATGTCTCGATATAATGAGATAGTATCTCGATATAAGGAGATAATATCACGATAAAATGAGATAATACCGGGATATAATGAGATAATGTCTCGATATAATGAGATAGTATCTCGATATAAGGAGATAATATCACGATAAAATGAGATAATATCGGGATATAATGAGATAATGTCTCGATATAATGAGATAGTAACTCATTATAATGACATAGTATCACATTATATTGAGTTACTATGTCATAATGAGATAACTCAATATAATGAGATATTTTTTTTTTTACAGAGTGGCGGAAACAGGCTTCCATACATTTACATACTCAAATTAGGAGTAAATACACTTCATTTAAGACATCTGTACTTAATTCTAGATCATTTTTTTTCCAGTGTACAGAGCATTCGACAATCATCAGAAGCCTCTAAGATGCAGCCTGCTGCTCTGCAGCCTCATATTTCTGTTGGAAGGAGGCTGATTCTGAGGTCATCATGGAAGGAGCTCAGTCTCCTCCTGCTGTGGTCGTCTGTTTATTCCCTGATGGAAGGTGTTTGTCGTCCACCTTTCTGCTCTCACTGTCAGAGGCTCCAGCTGTGAGGTTTGGATGTCTAAGTGCCTTCATTTGCTGCTTCATGCTGATTTAATCGTCTTCCTGTCCTGTAATCTGTCCTGCTGCTGACGCTGGGATCAGAAACGGATTAATTCACATGGTGACGTTTTCAGATGTTTGGAGGAAACATAAAAAAAAAAAAAGATTTGTCTGGTTTCCCTCAATGGATCAATGCTGACGCTCTGTCCACCATCCTGAAGCTTTCCAGCATTAGCAGACCTGCTAACTGTTGCGTCGCTAACGGCGTCTTAGATCTCCACACAGACGGCCGTTTTTTTTAAACCCCGATCAGAAACACTGATGGAGGCTCTGCTTCAGGGAGGGAACTTCCTGTCTGCAAACCTCCTCCTCCTGTCTGCGCCGCGAAACCTTCGCCTCACTGAGCAGCAGCAGAAAAGCAATAAAGACTCACTGTGGATTTATTTATTTTTTAAAGGATCATAAAGTGATGAACCTGTAATCAAACGGAGGCTTCCGTCAGGATGAATATGGTTTCCTGTTCGCTGGAGCGTCACATCTTCTCTCAGAGGAAGTCCAGCTGCAGAACACTTCCTGCTGAACCTCCGATTTTTCTGCACTTTGCCTTTTAAATTCTCCTTTGTCTTTATTTTGTCACTAAGCAATAATATTTTTGTACATGTGAACAATCTTGTTGTAACCATGGATATTATGAACGACTGCGTCACTGAAATCTATTTATTGCTAATAATCCTTCAGATAGACTATCAGAGCTGATATGTAGCCTAGAAGAAAAAACTTGTTCTTATTGTTGGACTGAATCCATGTTCTTCCAGTCATGTTTCCTTTTTTATTTTGTGTTAAAGGAACAGTTGATTGTTGTAGCAGGGTAGAGATTTTACCAAGTAAATTTTCGCTAGA